CAGAAGGCTGGGGAGACCAGATTTCACCAAAGCATGCCCTGTGCATTATTTTCTGTTGCTAATAACACAATATCACAGCTACAAAGAAAATAAGCTAATTTTGGGTCATGATTCTGGAGGTCTAAAGTCAAGGGGCCACCTTCTGTGTGCCCTTCTTGCTAGCAAAAATCCAGAATTGGTACAGGACAGGGGCATGTGTGTGTCTGTTTTTTCTATTCTCTGTCCCTCTTCATACAAGACTTCTAGGGTTCAATCATGGAGGTTCCCCTTTAATGACCTTTCAAATCCCAGTCACCTCCCCGAAGGCCACAAGCATAAGATTAAGTTTCCACCCACTCAATACCTCACAAAGGGGACCACATTTCAATGCAGAACCTTGATGGGGTGCACCCTCAGCCCACCCCACTGTGTGAGATGGGGTTTTCCTGGCCACTTTCTGTGTCAAAGTCTTGTTGGAGTATTCAATTTGATCTGTTTCCGAGAAAAATGCACAAGCACACGAATGTGTCACAGTTTTGGGGGCCACATTATGTTGGCTTGTAAGCTTCCACCAATAGCCTAGAGGAAAAGGCTTACAGAGAGAAACTGTGGTCATGGAGCTAGGGGCAGGGGCAGTGATCTTAACTCTGTACATAAGAAGCAGCATTCTTCAAAGGAAGGGCAGTGCATGTTTTTTAAGTCTCAAATTCTAATTTCTATTTCTAATTTCTAATTCATGTATGCTTTGTGATATTTGAAATACATTGGCATTTTTGTATATGTGAATTTTTTACCAAACAAATATGTACACACTCACGATTGCTCGTTTCTTTCCCTGATAGGGATGCTTGTGAAGATGTCTGTCTAAGTAAGAGGGGCAACCCATGGACACTGGTTGAGAATTTTCTCTTCCTTTTTCCTGCTTCTTTCAATGTTGGTCCTCTGATGGGGCCGGAGCCCTTTCTAAGCCTCCATCAGTCCACCAGAGTACGCACTACCTCTGGGGGCAAAAACTTTCTATTTTGAGTCATTTAAGAACACTCATCAGTGTTCGAGTCACATGTCTAATTTCGCAAGCCTCTGACTCCATGATGCCTCAGGACTTCTAGGAATTATTTTTTCAGCACTGGAGTTAAGAGAGAAGAGATCTTTCCACTGTGCAATTGACTCTACCTAATGAAACATTATGTATATCTGGATAATTCACTCCAGTCAGAGAATTCTGTCCTTTCCTGTGTTTTCTTGGTGTTCAAGTAAGGAGGAAGGAACAGCAAAGGAAACCTTTAGGGATTCCTGAATATAATCTTGTGGCTTGAAGGCCATTATTAATCAGAGGAGTAACTGAAGGATTCTAGCACAGTGCCTGAAATGACCCCCACACTTCTCTCTGCAATCTAAACAGCCATCCTTAGGCCCCAGACAAAGTCAGTAGCTAAGCAGCATAGTCCTATTATCTGGGATTGGGCCTCCCCACAATGTGGATGTGCAGTATGTACGTGTGTATTGTTTGTTTGCTTTAATATAATGATGAGCATGATCACTACCAGCCATTCTCATGGGCAACATTAGCAGAGATGCATGCCTACCTAGTATAAGAAGAGCCAGAGATAGACAAAGAAAATGACTTTTAGCATGGAAGACGAAATGATTCTGGGAACAATTTAATTAATGAGGAATATTGAGATAATTTGAAGAATGATTAGAAAGAATGAAACTCAGTTAAGTGCCAATATTCAAAATAATGAACAACTCTTGTTTGCCAGCAATAAGCAGACTAAATAAGGCAAGGGGTCAGCACAATGGTCCTGGTCTTTGCAGAGAAGGGGAGAACGCATGGGCTGTGCTCTGCTCACATGCAGTGGTCACATTCTCCTGCCACGAGCTTTTGCTCCTTTCCCATGGCCTCAGGCCCAGAGGCTGGGCAGGAAACCAGCCCCACTTCATATCACTTCCTCACTTGGCCTCTGTCTGCAGCTCAAGTGCATTTGCCTCCTCAGTGCTTTGGTTGGGCTGCAGCACTGAGAGCCCTTGTTCTCTCCCAACTGCAGGTTGATTCTGCGCTAAGGGAGAATGACTGATTCTGGGCTTCTTGACCGTGGATGCTTTGGTTCCAAAATTTAACCCTAGTGGGGGATTTAGAAATTTTCTATTTAAACTTTGTTCTTATTTTTTTTTAAAGTCTGGAAACCAATAACTAAGTAACTAAATAAAGGGCATGTATAAAGTAGGGTAGGTGAAATGCTAATGGTTGAAACAAATATGCATGCATACTCCCAGTCAGGGTGGTGCTTGTACGTGGAAATTATGTTTGTCTTTGAACTTCCTGGGATTGTGATCTAAAACTAGAGAAAAATGGGGAATAAGAAAAGGAAATATTATTTTTGTAAGGTTCCACTGTTTAATGAATGGCTTTTATAGATTTTTCTTTTTAATTTCTAGGGATTTGAAATTACAGGAATAATACAATAGCATCTTTTACCAGTAGTGTGGCTTTTTAAGTGGGCAGGAAACCTCTAAAGCATTGTCCAGATCAGAGGTTAGGTCGGGACCTGTGAAAGAAGTGCGGAGGATGTTGGGCAATCTTAATGGGGTTTTCTACCAATGCCTCAAGGGTAGAGATGTTCAAAGACAGAGAGAGAGAGAGAGAGAGAGAGAGAGAGAGAGAGAGAGAGAGACAGACAGACAGACAGAGACAGAGACACAGACAGACAGAAATAGAGACAGACAGAGACAGAGAGACAGACAGAGATAAAGGCAGACAGACAAGGGACTGGAGGTTTAGCTCAGCGGCATAAGTGCCTGCCTTGCAAGCAGGCAGTTGTGAGTTTGATTCCTGGTACTGATAAAAAGGAAAAAGACCAAAAAAAAAAAAAAAAAAAAAAAAAAGAGACAGAGACAGAGAGAGACACAGAGACAGAGACAGAGACAGAGAGACAGAGACAGAGAGAGACACAGAGACAGAGACAGAGAGAGACACAGAGACAGAGACAGAGAGAGACACAGAGAGAGACAGGGAGACAGAGACAGGGAGACAGAGACAGAGAGACAGACAGAGACAGAGAGACAGACAGAGACAGAGAGACAGACAGAGAGACAGAGACAGAGAGAGACACAGAGACAGAGACAGAGAGAGACACAGAGAGAGACAGGGAGACAGAGACAGGGAGACAGAGACAGAGAGACAGACAGAGACAGAGAGACAGACAGAGACAGAGAGACAGAGACAGAGAGACAGACAGAGACAGAGAGACAGACAGAAACAGAGAGTCGGAGACAGAGAGACACAGAGATAGAGACAGACAGGCAGAGAGACAGAGAGATGGAGGCAGAGAGACAGATACAGAGAGAGAGAGAGAGAAAGAGAGAGAGAGAGAGAGAGAGATTGTTAGGGTCTGAATGCTCTTCCATAGAAATGCTCTGGAGAGAGGATAATTGTGGTAGCCTGGCACTGCAGTTCTTCTAGAATATAATCGTCATCTGGCTGTTCTATTCTTTACTGTCCACGTTTAGAAGTAATTCCTAGTTAGGAGCTTGTTTTTGTATGTTCTTAGCTCTGTCCTGGTGACATTCCAGGAATGGCTTCAATTTGCTTAGCAGTGGATCCTCACATTTCCTTGAATGCAAGTTACTTTTTGGAACTCTTCCCTAGAGATGGCTAATTCTAGACAGTGTTTATTGATTCCTGAGATTCTTACTTAAAATTAATGATTTTTCCCTTGCTTTTTAGTTGTTCCTTCAGAACTCCTGTCTGTAGGTTTTGGGAATGACTTTCTGGAACCTATGCCTTGTCTAGATACATACTTGTTTATATGTGGCTAGATGTTGTGTACATATGAATGCATGTAAGTTAGTGTGTGCACACTCACACCACACAATTAAAGGCTTAATCAGCACCATTTGTATTCCTTGCTTTAGAGGTGAACGTGAAACTTGAAGGTGAAGTCTTCGGAAGTCACATCTGGTGTCCCCTCAGAGGCTTCAGTCTCCCAGCCACTTACCAGCCTGTTCTCCAGGGCCAAGGACTTTTTTTTTAGGCTTCCAACTTATTTCCCAGGCCTTGGCCCCCACATCATGAATTTATCTCTTGTGTCTTTGATACCATTTCTCTGCCCAGGGGTCACTCCAATCTGCTCAAGGGCAGCAGTGGTCAGCCTTAGTCACTTTCTTATTGCTAAGACAATACCTAACATCCACAACTTTTAGGAGGAAAGGTTTATTATAGCTCACAGTTTGTGGAGGTTTCAGTCATTCCACAGAAGGCTGACTCCAAAGGCGGGTGGCATGGCAGAGGAGAAAAAACTCAGTAGGCAGTGGGAATCAGAGAAAGGGATCGAGGGAGGAGGGAAAGAGATAGACCTTCCAGTCCCATTCCCCATGACCACCTTCTCCAATCAGACTTCACCTCCCGAATCACATTTAGCTATAACTCCTCAGTGGACTAATCCATTGATGATTATCATGCACCAAGATCTAGTCTCTTCCCCAAAATCTCATTTATAAGTGTATGAGGATTTTGGGGGACATTTGGATATAACATTATTTGAAAATCATTGGGATTAGGGGAGATGATAAATAGGCAACTGGAAAAAAGATGTATGGAAGTTGTGATCAGGTCATAGGTAAGCAAGTTTAAGGGGTTCATCTGAGTCACAGGGGATTAAAGTTACAGTCTTATCAATGGTGACCTGAAGGACAGGTAGAGTTGTAAATGAGGGGCCCACTCTTAAACAAGACCATAAACAGAAAGCAAGATGTCGCGGAAAGTACAGAGTTATGGTGGGTGCTGGGAGAGTGTTTGCTGTGCTACATCCAGGAAGGATGTGGAGGGTCTGAGTGGGGGAGAGGTCTATTAAGGCAGAGAGAGAGAGAGAGAGAGAGAGAGAGAGAGAGAGAGAGAGAGAGAGAAGATGGAAAGGGCAAGTGGAGGGAGGAGAAAAGGAGGGAGCAGGTGGGGAGGAAGCAGGTGGGGAGGAAGCAGGTGGGGAGGGAGCCTGCAGGGGGAGCAGGTGAGGAGGGGACAGGTGAAGGGAGCTGAAGAAGAAGCAGGTGGAGAGGGAGCACACAGTAGGGGAGGGAACAGGCTGACAACTGTGTGGTTGTACCATCTGAAGGATCTTGTGAATTTACAGTTGGGACAACTGGGAGCCCCAGAGGATGAAGTTAGAAATGGAAAGTGTCTGGGGCTGGGAAAAGGGCTTCTCCCTAGGATACACTGCAGGATTAACTGGGAAAGTCTGGCAAGATTCCTGTCACCCTCTCCACACCCAGGACTGACCTGTGATGTCACAGGTCACAAGCAGGACTGAAGGTTTTACTGTTATCAATATATGTCCACTTTGGCTGCTCTGAACTGGAGCCCACTATTCCGCAGGGAGCAGAGCCACGAAGGGCTCACACTATCAAAGCAATCACCATGGGAGGCTTGGCCCCAGAGGCCAACTTCTGCCTCCTGAATCCTCCCTTCCCCTTGGCCAGAGGCTTAGTCACACTGGTGGGGCCCTCTACTTCCTTGTATGGCCAGAGAAGAGGAGCCAGAGAGTAACGCTGGGCAAACAGCTTGATCCCTGGGACTCCTCCAGTATCTGCACTGCTTTGGGCAGATTCCAAAGAGCAGACAAGCCAGGGAGAGAGAGACAAGGAGCACTAAAATAGCTTCCGGCTGCTTTCCTTGGGCTACAGAAGCAGAGGCTCTGCAGCAAGCTGGGTGGCGCATGGACTAGTTAGTGTGGACTGCAAGTACCCTACACCCCAGAAGTAGAGGCAAAACCAAGGTGGCAGGGGACCACAAATACTTCTTTGCTTAATGCAGTGAAGTAGAAAATACCCAGCAATTGCTCTGTGAAATTTACTTTAGCTACGTTGAATCTTGTTTTTGAGGCAGGGTTTCACTACATGGTTCAGGCTGGATTTGGACTCACTTTGTAGCCCAGGCTGGCCCCAGACTTACAGCAATCCTCCTGCCTCAGCCTCCTGAGTGGTATATTGAATCTTAAGTAAAATTCATTTCTTTATGTTATTAATTTTTAAAAAAATTTAGTTTGATTGAATTATAATTTAGTAACAGTGTTAAGAGCTTGCGGTTTAGCCCAGTGGTAGAGTCCAGTGTTTGCCTAGCATGGCCAAAGCTCTATATTCAGTGCCAGTACTACAAAGATAAAAGTTTTAAAATGATGTGAGGAAATGATACATCTGGTTTTTCTAGTCTCCCTTCCCCCACCATTGGCTCTTCTGTAGGATGCCCCTAGCTTGAAGCTAGAGCCAGGTCCCAGAGGACACACGGCAGGCTATGCAGAGCATGGTGCTCATCAGGGACAATGCCAGATTCCTCTACCAGGCCTCTCAAGTGTACCTCACCACCACAGCAGACCTCCGGATCTCAGGAAGCAGGCGGGGCTTTTCCTTTGCACAGTGTTTTCATGAGGGCCCCAGCCTGCATGCCTGCCATGAATATGGAATATTTTTCGGCAGTGCTGACTGACTGATTTCCATTTTTTAGAAATGGTGCTTAGACTCAAACCCAAGGTCCCAAGAATGTAAAGCCTGTGCTCTAACAACACCACATCATAGCCAGACCACTCCATTTTTCTTATATAGGAACTAACAAGCCTCTTTTTTTGTTATATTCCCTAGTGAGCAGATCAGAGCCAGAGCCCATTTTACTGGTTTATTGTATCTTTAAGACATTCAGGATTGGGGAAAAAAATGGCTGCTTGCTAGGAAGCTGGACAGAGAACCTCTCTGGGAAAAACAGCCCAGATGCTAGAATCTGACAACATAGAGAGGGCCAGATGATTGGAGAATGATTCTCACTAACCCAGGAGGAAACTGAAAGAAAAATAAAATTAGGAAGAGGAAGGAAAAGTGCAGGTGGAGGGCTGAAGCCTGAAATGCTCACTGAGACCCGTTCTGTGCTGTGCTGGGTGCACCGTGGAGACAGACGATTCAAGGTCATGCAGAAGCTGCGGCTGCCAATAACGGGAGCTGGTGAGTCCTGGGCCCTTGGTGGGAGGATGCGGTGCAGTGTGCAGTGGGGCCAAGGTAGAGAGCTTTATTGGCTCTTGGTGAGTGCTGGAAATTGGGTCCGCTGCATGGGAGACTGACTGGGAGACATCTTGGAGTAGGGCAGATCCCGGTGCTGCAGTGGTGTCAGTCAACCACCCCTAGCCCAGAGAGGACTTGTGGGAGCAGCTTGGGCTGAACCACGCCACTGGTCAGGAACCAATGGCCTGGGATGAAATTGTTCTGACCCTGTGATGTCCACCACAGCACAGCGTAAAGTGCTGAAAGCAGTCGCAGGTTGACTGCCTCAGAGGGGAGAGGCCAACCCACAGCATCCCTGAGCACCACCTTAGGTATCAGCAAACTACAGAGAGCAGCAAGCCCCCAGTCAGTATGCTTTAGAAAAACTGTAAGGAATACAGAGATGACCTGAGACCTCCTCCACACACCTGTCTGAAAGAAACCAGAAGCATGACAAGAGCAAAAGATAAGACAAAACCTCCAGCCGCTGACCCTGGGAAAATAAGCCCAGGGGAGGTAAATACAGAAGAGAACCAGTCCAGCAATCATGCAGTGTTAGCCACAACATCAGCAGACATAAAGAAATACATTCGTGACTTCATGGATGAACTTAAAACTGAAATTCTAACACAAGTGAGACAAGAAATAAAAAGGTTAATTAAAGAAATGCTAAGCCCCTTTTAAGAAAACCCAGAGGGAAGAAGGGAGGAACCCAGAAAAGGAAGAGAAACCTTTGGTGAAGAATATAAACAAAATCTAGAATACCTGAAACAGATCCAAAGAGACTACCAGGAAATTAAAAACTCCATTGAAAGCTGGCAAAATGCCTTGACAGAAACAAAAGTTAGCCTTTCAAACTTTGAAGAGAGATTTACAATGTGTGATCATGGAAAAAAAGACCTATTAAAAATAACAAGGAACCAAGAAATAACAATTCAAAGGCTAGAAGACGACAAGAGGATCTATAACTTAAGAATAAAAAACATAAGCAAAGAAGCAGGAGTAACCACAAAAGAATTACAAAGACTATTCACAGAAATAATTAAGGAAAACTTCCCAAGCATAGGAAAAAGAAATGATATCCAGATAAATGAGGCATATAGAACTCCAGCCACCTACAAACAAAACAGATCTACACCTAGACATATAATAATCAAGATTCCAGAAATCTACCACAAGAACAGAATATTAAAAACGGCCGGAGAAAAGAAGCAGATCACCTACAAAGGACAAATCATCAAAATAATGACAGATTTATCAACACAAACTATTAAATCGAGAAGAGCCTGGGGGGAAATAGTCCAAGTCCTGAAAGAAAATAACCTCCAACCAAGATTAATGTACCCTGAAAATCTCTCTCTCAAAATTAATGGAGAAACAAGATGTTTCAAGATGTGGGAGTTCATGACCACCAACCCAACCCTACAGAAAATACTGAAGGACATTCTAGATAGATAGAGAAATACCAGGATTCCAGCAACAGTGGCAAAGAGGCCTCAATGAACAAGGAGGACAGTGGAATGAAGGAGAAAAATGCACAAATAGTAGCAGAAAAATAGAATAGCAGAATTGAGGCAGAGAAGGTGGGCTATAATTTTTAACATAGCAAAATACACTAACAAGAAGAAACACAGGCAGAGTAGATTAGGAGGCAGGATGCATCAAGATGCTTTGAATAGAAAATATACTCAGCCTGAAAGAAGGTTAATAAACTGAAAGTCAAAGATGAGAAAATGAACCTCTAAGTGACAGGGAACCAGAGAGAAATAGGGACAACTCGTCCAGCAGCCGCAGATAGATTGGAAAGTTATGACACTTTTGTGCAGTGTAGAACTACAAAGCTAGAAGGAAGGGGAACCTTGTGGCTTTAGTAAGTAAAAGAGTACAGCTCAAGATCAACCTCAGGGGTAAAAAGGTTCAGCAACACTCGGATAGATAATGGGTTGCTCCCTTAATCTAAAAATTAAAGGAGTTATGGGACCCAAAATATACAAAGCATCCTGAGAAAGGGAAAGGAGAGGAATTGCCTAAAAAAGGAAGGCAGAGGACATTGTTAATAGTGTATCAGGATTTAAAAGCCACAGTAATCTTATCACTCTGCTTAGTTTATTTTGTTCAGGTCAGTCTATTCATACTAGATTTGAGGGCATAGATAGCTATTCCCAAAATAGCAAGCTACACCATTGTAACTATCCTTAATTTCCTATTAACTTAAACTGAAGCCCTGTATTACTTACATTGTGTTACTGTGATTGATCTTATTTGAAGTTGTTCTGTTAAACTGTTGTTTTGTCTTGACTGATTTTATTCAAATTTGGTATGCTTGATAATATTGAGTCTAAGAGTACAGGCAACCACTCTGAAGATTACAAGATGTAATAACATACCCATTACGGTTTGATTATTAACTGCTTTTGAAGTCCTACAATGTCTCCAAAGTTGTGTTTTTATTAAAATAGCTATGTAATGTTATGTTCAATTATTATATGTCTGATGATGTGGACAACTCTATTGAAAGTAACAAGAGAAATCATAGTAACTACTGTAGATCACCCAATATTGTGGTTTTATGTCTTTTTCATTTCATGTTTTTCTAAGAATTTGTTTTTTTGTCTTGTTATGATCTGATTTTCCCTATAATACAGAAAGGATAGATATACATGTAGAGATTCACACGTGGGGAGAATTTCTAAACAGTTTATAGGAACAGATTATATAATGCATGATGTAATGAACAGATACTCTGAAGAAGAGACACTAAGAAACCCAATGCTAATTCTGTAACATTATGATATAAAATCTAGCAATACTATTATTCACTGTTCAGAGTGATATTAGTCTAGTCTCTTAAGTTCAATTTTAGCATATGTAAAGATAAGGACAGCAACTATGAAGAGAATGAGGGACATTATGGCAGTCACTATTGACTTCCCCAATGTCTGGTCTTGAAGACCTAAAAAGCCTTCATCACGCTGTTATGATCAGATTAGTTCTATAATGTTCAGTATGTATTCACTGTGTGTGAAGACGGGGACAACTATTTGGAAGAAAATTAGAGACAATAAGACAGACAGTGAAGATCTTCAGTGGACTTGCTTTGAAATCAGTGTTTCTTAAAATTGTTTCCTTATGATCTGTTTTGTTCTGTTTTGGTATGTTTAATCTTACCCTCTTGAAGATACGGGCAATTCTTTTGAAGACAGCAAGAGGCATTATAGTAGCCATTGTTGATCACCTTGCATTTTGTTTTTACATCATATACTATGTCTATTCTTGTTTTATTCTTGTTTTGCTTTGTCACATTTGGTTTTATTCTCTTCAAACAAAGTAATAAGAACTGTAAGAGTAATAAAACCTAAAATGTGTAATTGTTATTACAAAAAAAGAGAGGAAAAGAAAGTGCTCTAAAGTGATGTATGTTTAAGTGTGTAAAACAGGTAACCATATTACCAAGTTTTGTTGGATAACTGACCAGAACTATTTGCAGTCTCACTGTTTAAATGTCCACTTTGTATGCTTTAATTTTGTAATTCGAACAGCGACTTCTAAGATGATAATATGTAATCAATGAACTAGTGATTTCTTACTATCTGCTTTTTTGAAATTCTGCATTAATTCTACCCTTTTTCTGTTTAAATAAAATCCTTTATAAAAAAAAGACATTCAGGATTTTCTCTGAGTGAGTTTTTGATAGGGAAAAATGCTTGAGTAACTTTTGTGTTTTGATGCTGCAGTGAAGTATAATTTTAAAATGTCAATTTCCTTGTGAGTTTCCTTGTGTTTTTATCTCTTCTACCCTGCCTCAATCATACTATAGTGATAGTTACATACTAATGTTCATAGAAATACAATTCACAATAGTCAAACTATGGAAACAGCCTAAATACCCACCATCAGACTGATGGATAAAGAAAATATGGTGTATATACACAGTAGACATTTTTCAGCCATAAAGAAAGATAGATTTGAGTCATTTGTAGAAAAGTGCCTGATCATACTAGACAATAATGTTAAGTGAAATAAATGAGACACAGAAGTTTAAATATCACAGGTGTTGTAGTTGTGTGTAGATGTCTTCAGAGCCTTCTCATCCTGTGCAAAAGCAGGGCAGGAGGTTTTGTGAGTGCCATCATTCTCCCTGGAGGAGGGGTGGCCTGTGACAATAAACAGATGAAGGGAGACTTTCTCTCCCCTGTCTTGCTCTTGTTGCTTTGCTGCCTTCTACTGCCGTGAAGTATTGCCTTTGTGCTATGCCCTGCTGCCTTCGAACCAGTTGATTGTGGACTGAAATGTCCATGAGCCGGGAGCTAAATATACCTTTCCATCCTTAATTTTGGGTGTTGGGTATTTTGTCTCAGTGAGAGAAAATTAACCAAGGCAGAGGGAAATCCAAAATGATCAAGATACTATATATATAGTATGCACCAGTTCCTTGAAACAGATGTAATTGTTCTGTATTGAAAAATACATCAAATGCCAACAGCAGCAAAAACAAAAACTAGGGGTGTACATGTGCACAATAGAATATTAAATTAACCATTAGATTTAGCTCAACATATTAAAACCCACAAAACTTGCTTCCAGCTCTTGTTACTGTCTTGTAAGCTCTTGCGACAAAGGATGTGGTCTGTAGTCTTCATCTGGCACCTGACAGATGTTGGGCCATGCAGAATCTAAATCCTGCCCCCAGCTCAGTTCACAGACTGCATTTAAACACGATTCTCTGGAGGATTTTTACACAGAGTAAAATTTGAGAAGCACTTGAATCACATATGCATCACTGATTACAAATTGATCAAAGGTTTTAAAAGGAGAGCCTAACTTTTAATTAATAATTGTAGCTATCGACAGCCATTACCTTGTATTATTCCCATCCTATTTGACACAGGCATCTGACATTTGTGTTTTTTCTTGTTACCACACGATGGCGCCAGAACTCTACTAAATATGTAATGGACCTGGAA